ACTGTTCTCCAAATATTAAGGCTAATTTCTTATCACATAATTTTAGTAGTTCCATGGATGTCAGTCAAACTGCCCACATGAGTGGATGAAAGCGTTTTTGTGTCAATATTGATCGCTATAGGACTGTGATAATTTTTTATGGCTTGTTTGCTTTGAGTCTGAATTAAACATAATTCTTATTGATACTATTTTTACTATTAAATTGTCAATTTCGTCTATCTTTTCAGAATATATGGAGTGTTTGTAGTACAAGAAGGAATGCAATGGAGCTTTTAAGTTACATATGTCTGGACAGAAGCTTTGTAAGCTTTTTGAAGTCTTAGAGAATTAAGGGGCATTGACACCATCAAATGGTGACACTTGTTTATCATCTTCACCACGTCCCAGAAGTATTATCTCTTGGGTCTCAAATTCTAGCGGTACACGGAAGCTACTGATGGATTAGCTGGTTATTGAAAGTGGCTTTGCATGCACTAGAAAGCTAATGAGTGTAGCAATGATATTTTAAATCCTGCACTTAAAAGAAAACCAACTCTATAAAAAATCCTGTATAAGTGGTTAAGTTATAAGACATCAGAACAACACATAGAATTTGCACTTGTTATCTTCTGAACAAGTGTAAATAACAGAATACTCACTGGAATATAAGCAGTACATTAGCTAAGATAGATTAAGGGCCTAAATAATTACATTAACATAATATTTAAGAAAGCAATATTTATAGCAAAATATCTGTGAAAGTTTGTCATTTAATGTTTGTACCTATGCATCTTATGAAAGCTGAACTGGAGCGGTATTTTAAAACTTCTATAAACGCTGAATTCTCTACCAAGGAAAATAGTTAAAAACTCATTACAGCATGGAGTGGTAGTGTCTACTGAGTCGTGTTTTTGCTGCTATTCTACACAGCTAGTTTTGAGAGCTTGCTGTAATCCTGATTAAGCAAAGAAGCTCCAAATCAGATTATACATCTGGTAGCAATTAAGTGGAACAGTTACCATCTGGGGACATAGTATTTCCACTGGAAAAAGAAAAAAACCCCACATTCTGAGGTATAGTTAAGCTACTGTTAGATATAATCCTCCTGTCTCTTCATAAACTATATTCACACACTGTATAATCATTGGATTGCCCTTTTTCCAACAAGTTGAAATGAAGAATGCCTCATGGATGACAAAACTCCTTCAGACTGTCATGTTTTATTGAGTGTTGTGAAAGAAACTGTGGAACTATTTTCATTGTGATTATCTGAATAGAGAAAATATGGGAGAATCTTTAGCACAAAGACGATCATCTTGATCAAATGATTGAACAAAAGCAAGAATTAATGCCAGAAGATAGTTAATAAATAGTGTCAGAAGGTGAGGGGTAGAAGCTCCATTTTAACATATTTAAAATTTATATCACTAAAGAACTTAGTTTGGAGGATAACCCTACACTGATAAGAAGACAGATGACCTACGTTCCCCACCCACATTTTTATTTTATGTGGTTCTGTGAGTCTCTTGAGCAATCTAAGTGAACAGAAAATTATATAAATGAAATATTTAAAAGGTAGACAGAGTTTAAGAATAATATAAGAGGACTTGCTGAATGAGATGTTAGATACTCTGCTCTGAACAATGGCTACCTGAGGTGAACCTGGTCTGGTGATTAACATGACCTGAGATTAAGCAAATGGATTATGATGTGTTTCCTAGCTGAGCGCACTTGGAATAAGGCTAAGGATGTTCAAGTCGTATGGCATAGACAATCACAAGTACAATTTATGAATCTCTGAAAACAAGCTAACTACTCTTTTATTTACATAGGATATAACTGTGGGTGAGTATGATGAAATTATATGCGATACTTACCAGATATATAATGTTAGCCATATTATTATATATTTAGAATAAAGTGTTCCACTTAGTGTCTTTATAAAATCTAGCAGCTTTGTGCAGGTTTGAATGAATGGTTTTGTTTATGAGATTGCAGGCAAAGGGATTCAATTCTGCACTCAGTTTGATTTTCCTGCAGAATAAAATTCTTAACATTGTAATTGCCAAAATATCTTAATAGACATTCTGTATCATGTAATATCAGCTATTTCTTAATTTTAGAATAAAATCATTTAAGTATGAAAATTGATACTATGTTTAAGATGAAATGAAGCTATTGCAGTGTGATCAGCAGTAGTGTGAAATAGTAACTTCTACAATATGTTGATTATTCATTTGTTGAAATATTTGGTATTTGTAAGATGGAATTATAAGGTATCTGAAAGATGCATAAACAATTTCCACTATTAAAATTAATACTAGAGAGTATTAATACGTTGTGTGCTATACAACCATCAGTCCTTTCATACATGGTGTGCTATGCAACTACCAGTTCTTTGCCAAAACTATCTGTTTTATCATTCGTTTTATGTTGTCCTAAGGAAAACTTCTTAGTTACTTTTGTGAATTCAAATTATTTCATGTTTATAATGAAAATTGTCTTTTTTCTTTATATGTGTATTCTCTCTTTGTTTTGGATTTCATTACTTCCACAGTGTCAAGACTCTGTCTAATAATTATCTTTATGTAAAATGCATTGTTTTTCTCTTCCAAATGTTGGTGCTTACATAACTGAATGTTTTACACAAATACAAATATTTAGAACAACTTCTGAGAGGCTAATTCAAAACTGATTATTATCACTAGTCTCATGAGAAAATCCACCTATTTTGTCTCCTGTAAGAGTGAATAATCATACAGTTAGATGAAATTCCACTACATTTTCATAAAGGGTGAGAAGTCATAGTACAGAGTAGCTGAGGAGCTATGTCTGTTCATTTCTGTCTCTGGCTGTTATTGATGATGACTTAACAGTTTTCTCCCCTTCCTCAGAGATCCTGGACTGGACTCTGTTAGTGAGCTCAAGTCTTCTTGGCCAGTGAAATGGGGTAACGCAACATTTAGTTCACTCAAGAACTTTACTATTGTCACTGCTACTTTCATTGGAGTAGAACATTTGCTCTGCAGACAGAGTAGGGAAGTTTGTGTTGCAGCTAGCAACAAAAATGCCCTTACGGATTTCCTCTAGGAATATCAGTATAAACAGAATGACTCATGAAGCATAGAATGGCTGGTTCAAATTGTGTCCCCAGTCCTAACTCACCTGTCAACTTCTTAGTTTAGAAGTGTAATGAAAGTTTAGGCAGCTAATGAATATATCTGTCAAAAAAATATAAGCACCTATAGCTCTCATGGTTTCAGTTGAAGTGGAGCTCCTCCCTGCCACAGAAAGTAAGCCATTTCACTAGCCATCATGGACTGGGCTGTATAAGTTGCTGCAGCCAAGCTTGAAAATTTCTTCCTGCATATTCCTTAATTAAATACTTGCAGGGTTTTTTGGGGGCTTTTTTTTTTGGTTTTTTTTTTTTTTTTTTTTTTTTTTTTAAATGGAATTGTGATTACCTAAATCAATCTTTGTGTACATCATTCTAGTGCAGACCTGTTTGGTTATTTTCAATTTTAGCACTTAGAATGAGTACAATTCACAGCATAAATAATGTATTAAAAGGAGACATTTCTTCCTGTGCTCCGATCATTGTTCAAAATAACAAACATTTAAAAAATTATTAACTCTTAGTGAAGGCAAAACAGTCAAGCTGAAAACAATGCATTATTGGAAAAGCTGTAAGAACACAGTAAGATAAAATCTTGTCAAATCTGACCTTATTTGAACCTTGACTGTCTTGAAAAATAGCAACATTTTCTTATCAGTTTCAGAACTGATGTATGTAGTAGTAAAATAGTTAAAATATTGTTCTCTGTAGCCTCATTAAGAAAAATATGTAGTAGCCAGAAGAGATTGTTCCATTATTCAATATGGCAGCTACATCAAGATGACATTGTCAAAGAATTTAATTTATATTATTTGATGACAAACATATTCCCTGAGACTGCTATACAGCTTTTCAGTAAAACTCTACTAAACTGCTTCTTTGAGGCTGATTAGTTGACTAGCCATTTCTACCTTGTGTTCCAGTCAAAGCAAGCCAGTCATTAAGATACAGCAATTTTATTCATTTAAAGGGTTGTCATTACAGTATCTGTATGTAGGTTGGATTGAAATGGAAAGATTGTAGTGACAGTGCTCTATTTTCAAGCATGAAGGTTATCGACATAGTTGTCAGAAATAACCTGTTGTTTAAAAGGCCAGTATTTAAATGTTCCAATTTAAAGGCTACTTCTACTGAAGAATACCTGAATTCTTTGTGTCTTTATAAAGGATTTAAAAACTTTTCTCTTACTAAAAAATTTCTTATTTGATCAGTAGATTTTCCCTCAGTATAAATGCAAGTATTGTGGTGCTTTATGTATCACACAATATAAAACTTACAATAGAAAAGCAAATGATCTGTCAATTTATGATGCAACTTAACTCTAAAACATTTTTGCGGCCTTATTCTGGTATAATTTATGGTGTAGTAAATCAGGAGCCTTTTCTCTGACTCCAGTGGATTTGCCCTGGTATAAAACTAGTATATGAGATCAGAATGAGTTGTATTGTCTTTCAGTTTTGTTATTTTGGACTGAATATGGCTCATGCCTAGGCACAAATTGCTCCCTCCTAATAAGGATTTTGCTAATATCTTAAATATGAAATGTTGTCATTAGCTTCATCCTCAAGAAAGAAAACATCTAATTATCATTCTGGACTGACAAAGTGCCTTCTTCTAAGGAAAGGTCTCCTGTACCAAAATGCTAAGAGATTTGGAATTACATTGGAGAGTTTTGGGAATATTTGCAAGTAGAGCTATGCTAACTTAATCCGACAGTACTGGAGCCTTTGTGGAATTCATAGATAACAGCTTGGATCCATGTAAATCCAATGATTTTTGGCACAACTTGCTGCTGTTGGTTTCTTATAAATTCTCTTTCTGCGCCTTTCAAAATGAAGACCATATTATTACTAGTCATAAGAAAAGTTTCACATCCATCTCCTCTTTCTTCCAGATTGCTGTCAAAATGAGTGAAACACCTTCAACTAGTTACTCGGTGAATCAGCCAAACTCCTCTGAGAGTGAACAGAGTTTATCCACGCGCCCTTTCAATGTTACTGAACCTGTAGTGGCAAAACGGATCTGTTTCTATAAAAGTGGAGATCCTCAGTTTAATGGCATTAAAATGGTCATTAATAACCGGTCTTACAAAACATTTGATGCCTTGCTGGATAGTTTATCCAAACGGGTCCCATTACCTTTTGGAGTAAGGAATATTAGTACACCGAAAGGGAGACACAACATCACCAATTTGGAGGATCTTGAAGATGGAAAATCTTATATTTGCTCCCATCAGAGGAAAATGAAGCCCATCAACCTGGAACAGGCTAGCAAAAAGCCTCTGCCCTGGCAGATCAGTAGGCCTGTCAGTGCTCGTCGTCGAGCTGTGCAATTAGCAAGGGAGAATGAAGATGGATTTGGCCATCGAGAAAGCAAAATAACAACTCCTAAAAAGATGCTTGTTTTCAAAAATGGGGATGTAAGGCTCAGGCGTACCATAGTTCTGGGAAAGAAAAATACACAAACCTTTGAGGCCTTTCTGGATTATATGAGTGAGTTAATGCAATATCCAGTCGTGAAACTATATACCACTGATGGCAGAAAGGTGAGAATAAAGATGAGTACTGACAGTTTTTCTATGATTGCTTCTAGATTGTTTTTAATTAAAAAGGTGATTTTGTCAGTTCTAAGCTTGGAACACTGGCCTGGTGTAAGATCTGATGTGCTGAATTTCAGCTGTTTCCTTTCTATGCCTTTTCCCCTTCAGAAAGGCTACTAGCTTGAAGGAAATATACTGGAATCTTGCAATCAGAGAGAAGTAAGTGAGGACATTTTACTTTAAGTCATAATGAAAAAACTGTTTTCTTTTTCTTACTCAGGCCTCTTTCAGGCAAGCTCTCAATTCTATATTTTTACACATTTACACAGAAACTTCCTTTAGTCTTAATGCTGTTTATCTGAGATTTTTAAAGTTTTAAAAATATGATAAATAACATCTAATAGCCACACATATTTTGTCATTACACAAATGCAGAGTGGTTTGCCATTAATGACTTGGAACTATGACACCTGATTGTCTATTATAGTTTTCAAACCATGGACCAGGTTCTGCACCTCTAAACCCAGATGATGCAGCACTAATAATCCTGATTTTCATTTTACATGCTGTTTTATATAATTTTATCTCACTTAGTGTTTTATCTGTGTGTTGTTTAACCATAGAAAAGCACTTGTGATTGTACCTAATAGGTATATAGAAAGAGCATTCCATGCAGAGCTGCAAGAGTTCAGGGGAAATACTGTGTTTACCCTCCATTTGGTGAAATTCTGTATTAGGTTGGGAAACTGTCCATATCACCTATAAGTCAGTGAAATGCAGTTTGTAAGCCTTACCTTGCAATATATTTTGGAACATAAATTAAAAACTTGGCTCTGAGCATCTCGATCCAGTCAGGCCTGCTTTGAGCAGAGGGTTAGACTACATGACCTCCAGAGGTCTTTTCCAATGTATATTGTTCTGTGATTGTGTCCTATTCTGCTGTGGCAATACAGGTCAAGTACTTGTGTTGTATTCTAAATTTCCCCTTTCTTCCTCCAAATACATGTTCATATGTATACCTACCTCCAAATGCATATTCTTATTTCATGGGTATCAACAGTCACTGTGCAACAATGAAATAAAAGTACATATGCAAACACTTAAATTATAAGAAAATTTTGATCTGGATCCAAGTTGCTTCTTGAAGTCTTTTTTTAATATATTTATATAACAAGACATACCCTCACAGAGATAGGAATTGCCTTAAAGGAATTGAAAAATTAATTCCATGCTGTGATACATATTTAATAGCCTGCTGCAAACTAATGTAGAGACTAAGAAGTGAAGATATTAAAGCATGAAAGGGATAAATCTCTTACATTATTTTTGTGGTTACTAAGGCAGAGATTTTAATGTTACTTTTTTTTTTCCAGGTTCCTAATCTTCAGGCCCTGATATTGTGCTCTGGAGCTGTAGTCGCAGCAGGGAGAGAGCCTTTTAAACGAAGCAATTATGATTCTCTTGGGTATTCACGGCCTGCTAAATTGCTTGGAATTGCAAATCGTGTGTACCCAAAAGCAAACGCCAAGTCAGAAAGTGAAAATAGTAAGTTCTTTGAATTAATTTGTATTTTATTAATTGGTTTATCTCTCTCAGCATAATACATAAACCATGACAATCTTACTAGAATCAAGGATATTCAAAAAGGCTGGCTGAAACTGTTTATATCTGGTCTGACTGCTCTATAAGCATAAGAAAGATCAAAGTGTTAATGTTCTTTTTAAAACGTAAGTTTCTGCTAAGTACTCAGCTAATATGCATATTTTCTTTCAAACACACTTATTTAGAACATGGATGCAAATCTATATTTTATTTCAATGCACTGGATTGTCATTAATTTTTTGGTGTCGCAGTTAATAACAGCAGTAGTAAAAGAGAAACCACACGCTACTTCAGGCTCTTAATTGACTGAATTTCTTGAGCAAAACTTGTGCAGTTTTCAGAACTTACCTTAGCAAGTGGAGGTTTGACTTGTCATTGTCATGACTTTCACTTTTCCCCATGTCCCATGCTCCGCATAAACAGGGAAAACATTACAGCACCCATCTACTCACAGTTTCATCATGTTTTTGAAACTGCTTTTGTCTAAACAGTGTCATCCTTTCCTATATCCTTCTGGCTGTGATATATGTTTTTTGGATAAGTTTGGGAAAAGATACACAAATATGTACTTTGCCTTTGATTACTCATGGAGTTGTGCCACTGACAAGGTCAGTAAGAGTGTGAAGTGGCCAGTGGATGATCAAGAACATGAGGAACTCTTGGAGAAAAGCCAGACTAGCTGAATAGCCTGAGGTTGAGGGGAACAAAATGCTGCCGTACCAGAGCTTTAGGTTGTGTGGGAATCCTTAGTGTTACAGCATCCTGTAGGGCAGAGGTACTGTCTAGGGGGAAACTTGTTTAATCCAGAGGTACCTTGTACTCTTGATACAGCTGCATGCTGTACTGGAGAGTCCAGGGAACACTGTAATTGTTTCTGTACTGAGACTTTCTATGGTAATCTTGACTGTGTCATGGAGCTCATTTATACATAAGACACTTGGCTTCCATTTACTTGAAGGAGTTTCTTCCATGTCCCTCGCAGTTTTATCATGTTCTCACCAAACTATTTATTTTATTTTTTCTCACCTTCATGTTCTTTGACTTGCACAGCTTGAGAGCTCTTTGCAGAGCATAACTAACAAGTCAAGAGAGAATGAATAGGAACATTTTGAGAATTAAAGTTCTGCAGAAACAAAAAATCCTACCCAAATTTTGCTTTGAGCCAGAAATTGAGGCTTGCAACGGTAGAAAATGTGAGCAGCTGAGAATCTGATAAGTTCCTTCTAATCCTTAGTTAATAGCAATTACAGAAAGAGAGAGAAAAACCAACACTTTTTTGTCTTTAACCTGAGTAATTTAAAAGTATCCTGTGTAGAAGACATCATTGATGATGTGAGAGCCTGAAAAATAAAATTTCAGGGACTTTCTTCCAATTCCTTTTCCTGAGATAGAGAAGGTGAGATTTTTACTTTGGGAAGCATAAGATCTGGTCTATGTTAGAGGAGTTAGCACAAACTTTTATTTCTGATTCAGTTCATGGTAAAATATATGCCTGGGAAACTTGCAAGGCTCTCTGCCTGAAATTATAGACACTTATCTGTAACAGTAATATGTTAACTGTGAAAGTCTTGATATGAGACCATCTGTGACTCACTTGAGCAAAAAGAAATGCTTAAATTCAAGCAATATAGATAAGTTAATATTACATGTGTTAAAATACCTTTCTGCAAGTGAAACCTTTCTATTAAATGGTGGCTTCTACATATTTAGGTATTAGTAACAGTTGTGGATGTCTTTGTGTGGGTGTACATGCACTGTTTCCCTCACACATGCAAAACTTCTTGGAAGAGAGCAAAACTTTATTTTTGTCTCCTGTTCTTTTATCTCTCACCTCTTCAGTGACAACTGCTAGAGAGTGATGAAATATAATTTTTTTAAAAGCCGAGTTATTACAGAGTAATGAAAACATATTTTGGGAATATTTAATGTGTATGCAAACACATAATGGGCCATACTCAAAATTCATTCAAGTCTGGAATTATTCTCATTGGCTTTGAGTTTTGTGCCATCGTCTGCAGTACTGTAGCATAAAATGTATCTCAGAATGTCATGATTTAAATTCAGATTTTATAAGAAGTTCAAGTGCTTCAATGTTTACTTCTCTATAGAAGGTCAGTCCAGGGGATTGGATCTGAACCGTGTATTCATATGTCAGTGACACTACTCACAGTAATTACTCATGCTGTAGATTGTTGGATTAAACCTAGGAAGATATATGTTCACCTTGACTGACACATTTTAGCACTAACTGTAAGAACTGATAGGAAATGATATATTAATGATCACTAAGGCATGAAGAAATAAAGTTGGTAGCTTGAAGCCCAAACAATTGAGGGCCTGTGAATACCTTGAAAGGTTCAAGGCAACCTCAACTCCCAACTAAGTATAAAATGAGAGCATTTAGTACTTTTTTAGGCTTTGGAGCTTCAAATAATACTATAACTCTGGCATTAGAAATAACCTATTGCAAAATAAAATTAAGTGGAAAAGTAGTTAAATGCTTGATTCTTTATTAAAAATTGCTTATATTTCTCTCTCTAACAACTTCTTAAATGAACAGCAAGATTAGCCATGTTTTTCTCTTTGCTTTCTAATACTCTGGTAAAATAAACACAATTCATTAGCTTCTTTTGTACTAATTTTTCTTCTTTCTTCTTTTCTCTTCCTTTGCTGCCTGTCTGCTGTCTCACCATCTGGATCCTTATGCATGATATTTATCTGTTCTACTTTCCACCTACTGAATGAATTTGGGTTCTTTCAATGTAATTATCCGTAGCGAGAGCTGAAATGGGCTCAAGCTCAAGATCTCAGATATTCTCAGTTTCTTCTGATAAAGGGTCCAGCAATGACAACAACTCAAATGATAACAACTCAGATTCTTCCTATGTTCCTGACAGTCATAATGGTATGGGAGGAAATCAGTCAGTTACTGGTGAACACTTATCTGTGGCACAGTATGAAGATGACATTGAGAAATCGGTTCACCTTAATCAAGATGGCAGTATCACAGTGGAAATGAAAGTTCGATTCAAAATTAAAGAGGAAGAAACCATTAAATGGACAACCACTGTTAGTCGTGCTGGCCTTTCTGATGACAAAAACACCACCATCTGCCATTCTGCAATGTGTGTGGAAGACTGCTTATCCAATACAAATGTATCAGAACATATAAAACCAAAAGATGCTCCATTTTTGAAGAGCTACAGTAAAGAAGAGGGATACTCATTACAACAATTTGACACAGAAGTGTCAGGCAAAGAATCAGAGTCTGATTTAAAAACTGCTGGTTGTAATACCTGTAAGAAGAACAGTTCTGCAGATCTAGACGTAAGCAATGTACCTGAGGATAATATCAGGCCTCACTTTTATAGGCCTCCCACCCCTGGGCCAAGGCGAGTTAGACAAAAGAAAGCAGTAGTTGAAAGTGTCACCTTGGTATCTGAGAAAGAGGTTCAGGAGAAGACAATAGGACAGTTTTCCTACAGTGAAGAAATACAGAACGGAGAAAATAAATCTGAATATTGCATGGTAGCTCATTCAAGCAGGAAAAAATCAAGTGTCAGTAATCCAAATTTTAGTGAGATGAGTGGCAATGATTTATTAAAGCTTTCTTCAGAGAATGTAAAAGAAGAAATGCTTTATAAAGTAAGCCACAAAAATAGTAATTTAATAGAAACCACAAATAGGAAGACATTAGAAGTGCCTGACGAGGATGAATTGGTACAGAATATATTAGAGAAATCAGTTGTGGAACAAGGTACATATAATAGTTTAGTATCAACCTGCAAAGCTAACGTCAGTGGTTTCATACCATCATCAAAAATTTACCAGGCAGCTAG